TAGCACTGTGGTGTTTGGGGGAACGCTGTATCCTAGTGTCAGATATGACCAAGGGGGGAAAATGGATGTATGCTAGCAAAGTGAACCTAATGGTTTCATTGGCCAAAGAAGAGGGACCCTCCCACCCCTTCCCACTGGGACAGAAGGAAACCGACTGGAACCCACGTACAGTATATGCTGAAGTTGGTCCTAAAGTCCTGAGGTGTTTGCACACCGTTTGCAGAGTCGGGAGGTACAGGGTAAACGCAGGGAGAGCCTGGGAGTAGAAGCCACATGCACTGAGATGCCCTTGCTCAGCACGGATGTGGGAGGAAGGGAGCCCTTGGTGCCGGCTTCGGGGTGCCCAGGAAGTAGGCAGAGGCTGACTGCGTTAAGCAGTAGAGGCACGGAGTCAACACTGACACTCCATCCTGGCTGTGTCTCTCCACTAGCAAAGGTGGGTCTCCTTTGGCTGTGTAAGGTGCTGTCCCAGACACAGGGAGGGAGGGGGTCCCGAAGGGGGCTGGTGTGAGGGAGGAGAGGGCAGAAGAGCCTTCTGTGCAGCAGCAGCCACAGGGGAGCCGGCTCCAAAGCCAGCCCTTCACGGGCCTGTTCGCCAGTGGAGCCCTGGAAACAGGGCATGACAGATCTTGGTGCCTACCTTTGTAGAAAGAGTAAAAACAGCCCAGCCAACTGAAATTGGTGTGTGGAACAAACCATTTAACTATAAGCCATCTCTGAGTGAGAAGCCCCAAGGTTTCTTACTTGCCATGTGACCTTAGGCCCCTTTCTCCTAATCTTAACAGATGAGATGCTTGAATGTTGTGAGCATTCCCAGCCTGGAGCGAGTCAAGCCCATCTGCCCATGAAGCCAGTTCATTCTCTGGCTGTGCCCGGCTCCAGGTCAGGGAGAGGGTCTCTGCGAGGGTCCAGCCCACAGCAGGTCCGGCCCCACACAGTCCGGGCTGAGTGGCCTCGTATGAGGAGCCCACTGCCCAGGACAGATCTAAGCCATAGTTCCTAGTGGGGATGGTGAGAAATAACCTGCAGCTCGGCTCAGTACCAACGTCAGTCTCACATTAGCCGTGTCATTGTCCCCACCGAACAGCTTTTAATGCGAATGTTGTGACCACTTGGCTGTTTCTCTCTTACTCTCAGACAATATTAGCAATACACTTGTTTCTGCAACGTCACTTAAGCACTTTTCACACATTTCTTTCAAATGATTGTAAAACATACGGGGCAACAGGAGGCATGGATCACACTGCATATGTTTAGGGCAGCTTTTGTTTTTTGTTTCTTTGATGGTATATAGCAGTAGAACTGCGGCTTGGGTTTTGCCGGGGACACATTTCCAGAAATTAGGTTTCATCAGAACACCTTGCACAGCCAGGAGTACAGAAACCCAGCTGCCCGAATTGGGGGAGGGGGTTTGGAAACTGGTTTTTGTAGGTGGTCAGTCCCTGGGTTGTACAATTCCTCAGAAGGTGTTTGTACTGCTAGCACCTGCTCTGTGCTGTATTATTATTGATATTAATATTATTATTATTTTTCAAAGGATTCTCCAAGGAAGCCTTAAAAAGCCTCCTTTTTCCCTTTGCTGGCCCTGCTCATGGGGGACTTGGGAAGGGCAGTGGTCAGTTGCCACCTCAGCACTTTGCCTTATCATTATGCGGATGCCACCTAGTGGCCAAAGACTGTACCTACCCACCAGCTACCCAGATGGAAGGCAAGTAAGTCTCATCGGCCTGCCACCTTACTGACCAACTCTAACTTTGGGAATGGATTATAATGGCGTGAATGAACTGTGTGGGTGTTCAGAGCTCAGTGTGATACCAGGATCAAAAGATTCCAGCAGTCACTTAAACTCTTGCACTGTCTATGAAATGCACTAGATGTCCTGTGGGTAAAGAGTGGACCAGGCGTCTGGGTGTCTGGGAGGGGTTTACTATAACTGCAATACTGGCAGCCCGGCTGCTGACCTTGTTAAGTGAACCTCTGCTAGGTGGCCACCTTATACCCTCAGGACAAGGGAAGAGATTGGGTAAGAGGATTGGGGGAGGGGGTTGCTGGCCATGGCCTTCAATATGGTCCATCAAATAGCCAAACAGGTTTTGTTTTAGTTTTTGTATTTCGTATTTTAAAATTTTGTCAAGTGTTTTCGTGTTAGGAATAAAAAGTCATAAACTATTCCCAACTTTGTTTCTTGAGGGATGTTTTGATTCCGATTGAAACCGGTTGGAAATCTCAAGGGGGACATGGTCTGGGTGGTTT